ATCCTATAGTGACATTGTCCCAGATTTGAGTTTATTTTAAATTTAAATCTAAAAAATAAGACTTTATAATGCAATGATTTGAAGAATACAATTTTATAGTAATCAAATGGGATTTTGCATTATCAGAACACATGTTTAAATTTGACCATTAACAAACCGTATTCAATTTTGACTGCCCCAATATAATTTTTTATTAACATATCTGGTTAATTATTAATCATAAGATTTTATGAACAAACTGGAAAGCAAATTAAAATGACAGGTATACAAATAACTATTAGCATAGAATACATATGATATATTTATACTAGTGATCTGCTCTGGTTCCGCACAGGTATTATCTGGATCTGAAATAAAATAAATTTGTAGAAATTTGTGATCGTCGGGTAGAAGTGGTAGCAAGCTAAAAAATTTAGGTATAAGACCACGCTCAACAACTCTTTTGGCATATACTGTACTACGACTTATGTTCGAACGATGACATCTTTCGGACACGATTTTGTAATTTCTGTAAAAAGTAAGTACTATTTACTCAGTTCAATAATAATAGTAATAATAATTTAATCGTATTGTAATGGTAACACACCACACACATAGTACAATAAAACAGTCTTGAGTCTTCTTTTTTTTTACAAAAAACCTTCCTTTTGAATCAAATTATCAATTAAAAAAAATCGCATCAAAATTTGCTGTATAGTTTTAAAGACCTAAGCATATATAGGAAAAAACGCGAGACGACTGTTTTATACTATTTATAAATATATTTTATGTATACTATACATAATATATAATATATAATTTATAAAAATATTATAGGCAAGTTTATTTAATTTATACTATAGTCATAATTATTAAATGAACAAATATAAATATAATAAATGTGGCAATAACGTAAATGCCGAACATAAAGCGCTAATTAATATTGCTTGTTATTTAATGTAATGGCATTTAGATTTATATTAATAATGAAGGCTTAAAACTCTAGGAATTTGCATATTTTTTTAAAAAGTGCTTATTGAAATTTTGATTCGATAAAAATTTGATCAATAAAACACAGATTCCAAATGCAAAAATTCTTACATAATTTTGTATATTTCTTATTTTTTTGTAGGAGTGTAAGATTTTTTAAGAAGCTTAAAGATTTGATGAAAATTGTATAGTTTAAGCAATAATTAAGATGTAATTAATATATACAATTAAGATTAATACACTTAATCTGTTAGGTCAGGTATACTCTGAGTAAACGTGTTATATTAATGATTTTTATTTTATTTTACAAAGTGAAAGAGAATGGTGACTATAGAAAAAATTATTCTTGTAGTCCTCAATGAAAAAATTCGATTTCACTAAAAAGATGCAACAATCATATTAATAATTTATTATAACTTTTCATACATACATATATATATATATATATATCGTTATATAATTATTATAATATTGCTAAGGATGTCATTATTACAAAGTATAATAATTAATGTAAAAAGTCCTTGAGATTATTTTATGTGTTTTTTATACATTATAATTTGCGTTTTCTTTTATTTTTACTTGAGCTACAATAATTTAAGAGCCTTAAGTTAAAATAGTATATATTAACTGATAAATAATTTATATAAATTTTTATAAATAAATATATATAATTTTATAACATTGTACTTATTATTTACTTTAATCCAAACAACGCTTTCAGGAATTATAATTATTTTCATATCACAATATAGTAATACTTAATTTAATTAAATATAGTTTTGGATTACTGACCAAGCAAAAATTAATTTTTTTATAGCACACTAACGCTAATATATACAACGATAGTTTTTTATATTAACAACTAAAAACCAGTTAGGCATATACCGTAGGTGTATAATCATGAACGCAAGCGTGTTTCATTTCACTCTTATCTCGAATGACTTTGACCCATGGATAATAAATAATATATTTCTACCATGGACCTATAAACTATTCAATAGCTCTATGATCGCTATGCATCATTACCATTTACCTATGGCTACTAGAATCCTTCAACGTAATAAAACCGTAGATTAATCCGCGAACGGCATGAATAAAACAACATAATAAACTGCAATTAATTTATTATAGATGATGATCTAGTGTATATTATCTTAAGAAACATTATGAAAGCGATATAGGTAATATGTTTTATCGTTGATATTCGCCAGACATTTTTTGTATTAGAACTATTGGATTTTTTTATATTAATTGTTAAAACAAATATTTTTTTTGTTTTTATTTTCATCGAAGAAGTTATAATGAGAACTATTATTAGTTTTTGGTAGTATTAAATCCAATTTTCTTACACATAACGTTATTTCAGTTTCATCTAACAAATAAACGCCATTTTCATATTATTTAATAAATCTTCTTTGATAAGACAAGTTATTATTGAACCTCCTCAGTACACATTTTATACGGTTATTTTAACAGCCAAACATATGTACCTACAATAACATAGTACTATCAATACATAAAAGACCTAACCAACATGGACGAAGCTTTAGGATCAGACATGGAAAATATCACATATTTGTTTACTTTCCTAAGAAAAATATAATCATATGAAAAATCTTGTATCTAATTTTTAAGGCTGAAGTATAAGAATTCTAAATGTTAAAAATTAGTAATATATCAGATTTTTCAAAATTAAATATTTAAACTCGTGAATTTTTTTTTTTGAAATCAAGTTCAATTTTTTTTTCTGTAATTGGTGTATGGAAATTTCTATTACATTTGTCAGACTTTTTGTAAGACCAAAATTAATTTATCAACATTTTCGAAAAAAAATAATTGAATATATTTTAAAAATTATAACATTATTATAAAGAAAATGGTGATATAAGTATACAGTGTTAATTTCATATATCTAAGATTATTTATTGAGTTACGATGAAAACAAAAATTCGGTCACCTCGACAACTGATACTCCATCAATTTTGATATACTTTTTCGTATATGTGAATTTCGTCAGTTTTTTTTTTACAATTATTGAGAAAACGGTTGAGAAATTCGTAAAATTACTGCTTCTAAAGTACCCAAGGTTAAAACATTCCCCATATTTAATTTTTATTTGTTGGTAATCAGACCATTTATTTTGTTTAAAATCGTTTACAAAGATATAAAAAAAAATAACACAAATAAAGATTAAGCCAATATATTCCTTGGTTCACTCAAAATCTAAAAGAAGTACAATATATACAGTCTGGAGTTATAATTCTCAAAAAATTACGTATTAAATTTTTTGGTTTCCGTCGATATACCTTCCAAATAAATAAGTTCCGGGATTTTTACACTCCGCTGAATTATTTTCCGGAATTATTCGGCCTTGCTATGGTTACTAATTGGTTTTAATATAGAAGCAGAATCTGATGTGTAACGTGTTTACAAAAAATAAAATTGTAATTAATGACTCATCGGGAAATATTAGAAAATAATTTCATAAAATAACTTATATTTTAAAACAAAAACAATATAGTATTATACATAATAGTAACAATTTTAATGACTTAAGTAATTTAGCCTAAAATTACTTAAAAGTTTAACGTGAAATGAGAATTTATTTTATTGATGATAAAATCGGTTTTGGAACAAAAATAATTTTATTTAAAATTAATTTTTAATAAGTCACTTAAATGCATAATATTCTCATATACTAAATAAAATTATATTAATTATTTGTATTTGTATTAGTATTTGTTTTCAGAGCAGAAGTGAATCACCATATTAGAAAAATATAATAAGTACATTTTTAATATTCCTAAGTTATTTTACATTTTTATGAATTTCAATTCATACATCAAAAATTATATTGTAATAAAAAGTTTATAAAACTATGCTTTGTGTGAATTTTATTACATTTTACGACTTTTTAGATTATAATAGCATATTTTTTAGCCTCACAACTTTATATACTCGTAATATATTTAAATAATTATTTTTACAATAAATCTTTAGCTATGTCGTGGTCGTTATTTAACCCAAATATAGTGATGAATATCTTGATATTAATAGAAAAACCCGGATTAGGATAATTTTGGGCCCAGGCCAAACAACTTTGGGGACCTATATTAATTAATAATAACTAAATAGGCAGGTTTATGTTTTATAATGAAAAACAGTTTCATATCTTAAATACCTATTTTTCTTTTTTTTTTACCAGAAATATACAACCTATACAATATTTTAATTATATAATTATGTTCTTATTTTAATATTGTTCAAAATAATCATGATTTATAAATTATAAATTAATAAATAAAACAATTTAAAATGTCTATTTGCTTTACACATATGGTTTAACAACAAATTATTTCATAATAGATTTATTTTATTATAATTAAAATTAATTAATTAATTTTATTAAAAACGACAATGTACATGGTTTATAATAAAATTATTTTATTTTTTATTATAACACATGTTAATATAAAAACACTTGCCCTCATAGCAGATGGACTCATTGAGTAATCTACGGGTTCACACCGTAAACTGTAACCATTGCCCCATGCAGAAGCCCATGCTTCGTAGAAGATCCACGTAGAGAACAGAACTTGAAATAAATTGTTATAGATTAAATACAATTAAGTACAATGAGTATATGTTAGATTGGACTATCAAAAACATTATGGGGTTACTTGAATAAGAAGCTACCCATTAGTAACACTTAGCTTGAACGTTACGTTAATAGAATTAAGATTATAATTAAGTTAGATGATCCATACACTATTTTCTTTTCAATCTGCGACAGGGATTTCCAGGATGTGAGAGGATATGTAAGCCATTTATTAGAAGATTTTCACGGTATTCTAACCAATTATAAAAACGTTTGGTAAAGCAGCAGCTTCTTCTTCTACTGTTTGTTTACTTAGATCTTTATGGAGGATCAGGTTAGAGACAAAAAGTGGTCATTAGTGATTTTTCGAAGTGTAATATTTTGGAACACCTGAATTATATTTAAATTTGATTTTTTT